CCCAATCTCTACAAGCACAGCAAATCCATGATAGAGACATACATGCAGACAAAACATCCATATGCATAAAATAAAAATAAAGATCAAAAAATTAAAAAAATCAACTGTTATGTTAAACTAGCAAGATACTCCTGAGTATTTGAAATATTTTTCCCCTTATGGAATACTATGGGAAAAGAAGGAACCCACTGCCCTTTAGGAAGTGTTGTTAGGGTAAACTCTTTCCCATACATTTGATAGTATCTGCTTATGAAGCTATCTCTAAGATCAAACCTTAAAGGCAGGGGATCAAGAACAGGGACCTTGTCTAACAGCCCAGTGGCATACTGAGGAACTGAAGTGCCATCTTAACTAATGAATCAATTCTACCTTCCCTTTAAATATATTCAAAAATGCCAACAGTCTGTTAAAAAGTAACAGGAAAAGTTTAAGTAATAGTCACTTGTCAACTACATATTAAAAAGGAAAGGAATGAAGAACTCTCTTATATTTTAAAGTAAGACCAAACAATATATTGGTATTATTTTTCAGAGTACTTTCCAATGCATGACATATAATATAAGAAACTGGGCCAAAGAGGTAGCTCAGAAGTGCCTCTCATGCACGAGACCTTGGGTTCCCAGGTCTCCCAACCACTAAAAAGAAAATATATTCTATTCTACACCTAGTCTTATCAGCATTTATCACTTTTAAAATAGAGCTGAAAATTGGAAGAAAACCCTTCTTCACTGCTAAGTCAGGTATGACACTCTCTGCACCAGCTTTAGGTGGTTCCTCTTCTCTGATTACCAATGACTTCCCTTTCCCCCACAACCATAAACCTAAGCATCAATCAAAGAACAATTATCAAAGAATCAAAGCTTCAGGATCAGAGTACAGGAAGGCCAGTGTGTGTACAGTGGAATCTGTCGCAAATATTCATAAAGAACCATGGCCCAAAACAAGTGGCTTCACAAAAAGGTTAGTACAGCATACACAAAATGATAAAATCTGTGTATGCATTTAAAACTGAAGGTATCTGAAACAACACTTGGTATAACTCATTCCCTACTTGTTTTATTTTGGGGGGTGGGAAGGTCCAAGACAGGGTCTATCTGTGTAGCCCTGGTCCTGGAACTCACTCTGTAGACCAGGCTATCCTCAAACTCAGAGATCCTCCTCCACTGACTTAACAATTGAAAACATACCCCAATTTGACTTCTACATCTGGCTGTATCAGTCATAGGGACATTATCAAACTGATAAAGCCTCACCAAGGCATCATATCTTTTAGCCATTCCCCCACTTCTTTTAATTATCTTTAAGCATTTCCAATATTGACATGACAAAACATTCTTTACTAGGATTAAAAAAGTCTAGTCTTGTAACCCATCAACCTACCTATAAGGACAATCAAGAACAAGAAACACACCGAAGAATGCTTACAAAGCACTTGTTTACCATCAAAAGTCCCCAGCAGTGTAAGCTCCACTAGAAGAGCATACACTTTTTTTGGGCTCTTTGGGACAGGGTTTCTCTGTGTAGCGTCATTTGTCCTGAATTTGCTCTGTGGACCAAGATGGCCTCAAACTCAGATCCGCCTGCCTTGGCCTCCAGAGTGCTGGGATTAAAGGTGTGCATCACCATTGGCAGGCAAGTATGCAGTTCCTGAACCAAAATTACTTTGAGATTTCATCTTATACCCATCAGAATGGCTAAGATAAAAAAGTAAGTGATAGCTCGTGCTGGTTAGGATGCAGAGTAAGGGGAGGGGAGCACTCATCCATTGCTAGTGGGAGTGCAAACTTGCATGGCCATTATGGAATCATGGGGAAGATAGGAAATGACCTACCGCAAGATCCATCCATAGATACCACTCTTGGGCATATACCCAAAGGATGCTTCATCCTGTCATAGCTCTTGCTCAACCATGTTTACTGCTGCTCTATTCCTAACAGCCAGAATTTGGAAACAATTTAGTTGTCCCTAAACAGAAGAATGGATTAAAAAAAAAAGTGACACATTTACACAATGGAGTATTATTCAGCTATAAAAAAAAAACATGAAATTTGCAGGATGGAACTAGAAAAAAAAAACATTCTTAGTGTAGTAACTCAGACACAGAAAGACAAATATGATATGTATTCACTTATATGTGTATACTGGCTGTTAAATCAATGATAGCCAAACTATTATCCACACAGCCACACAAGTTAGGTAGAGAGTAAGGGACTGGGGGAACCACCAAAACTCATGAAGAAGGGGAAATGGAAGAGATAGCTATGGATAGACGGGTGGGGGGACACAAGAATCAAGCAGGGAAGGGAGAAGGAGGTGAGGGGGGAGCATGGGGAGAGACAGCTAAAATTAAGGGCCATTTGAGGAGTAGTATGGAAACCCAACACAACAGAAGCTTCCTAAATATATACATAAGTGAAAGCAAGCTAAAAGAAAGTCAAATGGGGAAGACAGCCCCAACTGACCATCTCTTGTCACCAAATAAAGCTTCCAGTACTGGGACTGGGTTATATCTAACTGAGTTGTTGGTCAAAGGGGGTCCAATGGGAATCCCCAAACAACCCAGGCTCTTGCCAAGACTATGTTGCTCTCCACAAAGTGATGGTAAGGTCCTACTGCTGAAGACAACACCTTTACAATTCCCTAGATATGGAGAAGTAAACTGGCACCTATAAAGAGTCTTCACCCCATACTCTAGCATCTTTGGTACCAGAAGGTACTATGCACTATACATCAAAAGAGAAATGTAAACACCAAGCCAGCCACTAACAGTGTGATCTACAATGGTGTACTGCCTGCAAGATATGCTACTGCAATGGCGGCACAAAGCTTGTGGAAATAGCCAACCAATATCTTAAATGCCCAATCCATGAGATTGAGCCCATACCCAGCACTGCCTGGATGACTATGGGTCTGAGACTCAACAGCCCAGAGACCTAGGGTAAAACCAAATACTCTTGTCCTTAGCGCCTAATGATATTCTACTACTATCAGTACCTTGCTCAGTCATCATCAGAAATGCTTCCTCCTGCAAATGGGAAGAAAGACAGAGACCCACAGACAGACATTATGGAGAGAGTGAGATACCTTGGAACACTCAGTCCTAAATGGAATGTCTCCACTAAATCCTTCTATGACTGACAGATAAACTCAAGAGACTGAGGCAGCATGCACAGGTCTAAAGCAGGTCCCCTATACATATTGTGACTCCCGGTTCAGGGTTTCTATGGGATTCCCAATTGTGCAAATGGGTCTCTGTTTCTTGTGCCTTTTCTTAGCTCCTTTTCCTTCTATTTGTTTTTGTCCAATTCCAATGTATTAGTTTTTGTTTTATCATAGTATATTATATTATTATTCCTTTAGAAGTGTGAATGTTTTCTACTGAGACAGAAAGGAGTGGATCTGGATGGGAAGAGAATTGAGGAAGAACTGGGAGGAGAGAAGGAAACCATAACCAGGATATAGAAAAAAATCTACTTTTAATAAAAGGAAAAATACTAAAGAAACTGTATATCCTGTAGTATTAACTATCCTGACAAGATTTAATTATTTTATAAAAACATATTAAAAATGAACAAGCACATCTATCTCATTACTACACAAAAAGAGGAATGCTAAGTTCTTGAAATTATGGAGCTACCATTAAGAATTTAAAAAACAGGTTATAGAACAAGATATACCTTTGAGGTAAACCGTCACAAACACGCTCAGTAACCATACAGTGCCCCACAGCATGCCTGCCCTCTGGCACAGCGCATTCTTTGCTTCATACTAGCTATTCTCACACAAGTGTGTCGATTCTCATTTCCTCAAGAATATTCACAGCAGGACTACCTAGCACAATCCTACATCAATTCATTATGCACATTCAATGAAAAATTGTATCAAGCAAGAATGAGTCAGCCATGTTTGCTGAAACCAAATGGCATAACCTAGAATTAAGACGCGCGCACACACACACACACACACTCTCTCTCTCTCTCTCTCTCTCTCTCTCTCTCTCTCTCTCTCTCTCTCTCTCTCTCTCACTCAGGTGTGGGGGTATTAACCAACAGCAAAAGCAAAGCAAAGGAGGGGGTGCAGTCTATCTCTAGAAGAATGAAACAAACTGTAAATGATTGTGGTCTTCTACAGACGTCGAGAAGGCAGCGGTACTGAGACATTTTTCACTGTAAGCAATGCAAGCCAATACATGATGTTTGAAAAATTCTTCACCTGATTTATGCTACTGTTAAATCTTAACAGCTACTGCTGTGCGGATTTACTTAAGTAAGATCTTCAGGTTATCAAACTGTGCAGACAAAGTCTCTTTTTAAGGTCTGAAGAATTAGTAGCCTATTGCTGTGGAAGTTATACTCATCTGTAAACCTAAGGTCTTCCTGACCAAGGTCCTTAAATTGCTGCCAGCAAATCCACACTGGTTTAACCTAGTCCGGGTTTAGCTTTTTCAGCCCTGAGCAGGTCTTTAGAATCCATTATCTGTTTTACTACATTTAATACATGTTCTACATAAAAGGATTTCCTATTGGCCACAAATAAGTGGAATGGGGAACAGATATCCCTTTCAGATTGAATCCTTTCAAGGCAGTGTGGTGTAGCCTTCTATGACAGAGTAACAAATAAATGCCCACCTAGAATAAATAAGATGGTGACTCACTACTCCAAAGTGATTCTAAAAAAAAGTTCAAAACAATGCATTGCATTTCACTACATTTCTTTCCAAATGGATCAAATTATGAGCCAGAAAGGTTCAGTTCACCTGCCACAATACACTCTGGAACCTTAGGGAAGACAGAGAAAATGTTGTTTAACATAGTGTCTGGAATCCTTTGTCACATTTGCTTAATGCACTCTCAAGTAACAGAGTCAAGGAAATACTGGAAAGGTTACCTAATAAACACAGTTCTGTCAATACAGGCCTACTCAACAACGTTGCTGAAAATTAACAAACTTCCTGAAAATAAGAGGCAGTCACTTAAAAAGAAAAAAAAAGCTGAACTCACCTTTAACACTTTTTCTATTAACATCTGCCCCCTTTTCAAGTAAATACTGAGCAATCTCTTTGTGTCCTTTGTAGCATGAAATCATCAAGCATGTATGCCCATGTCGGTTGGACACCTCCAAATCGGCTTTGTGTTCTACAAGGTACTTCACTATTTCCAAATGGCCATCGAAGCACGCAGCTCGAAGAGGAGTTGAATTGGTTAAAGTCGTGTTGTTGACGGATGCTCCGTGATTTAACAAAGACTGGACAACCTTCAGGTGTCCTGCTGCAGAAGCGGCCCACAAAGGGGGGGCCCCCTCGATGGTTTCCCCATCGAAATTGACAGAGCCCCCGACTTCTATGGAAGCACTGCACTGCTCCAGAAGGAACTCCACCATGTCGAGGTGTCCATATCTAGCAGCCATCAAGAGTGGTGTGGCCCCATTCGTTTTTTCCGAGATCAAGGAGGAAACCTCCTCTTTAGATTTGCTAGCCAGTAACTTGGTGAGGAGCCGGAGTTTGCCATCGCGCGCTGCGTTGAACACGGCCGTCTTTAGATCCATTTATGTCCTGTCGGGAGGCTGAGCTTTATTTATCCCTCAAAGCAAAACTCCAGCTTAACTCTCCACGCAGGCAAGTTACAGGAGCCAAAGTTCAGTGTTAGTCACCGCGCCCCAGAACGGATGTAAAACCACCGAGAGTATGTTGGGTTCTATCGCACTCCAACATCGGAGAAGCCGAGCACCAAACTAGAAATTAAGAAAGAAAGAAAGAAAGAAAGAAAGAAAGAAAGAAAGAAAGAAAGAAAGAAAGAAAGAAAGAAAGAAAGAAAGAAAGAAAGAAAGAAAGAGAGAGAAGCAGTTTTAGTATTTTCCTTACAAGTAAAGGCAAAACACAACACGATTTGGGCTTTCGTATTTCCTAATTTGGGGGAAGAATCAGGAAAAAGGCCCTACTTTAGGAACGATCTGCCCCCCCCACCCTTCCTTCAAAAGAGATTCGAAAGGAAGCTACAAAGGAGTTCTCACGGGGACCAGACTGTTTCGGAGGGAGGCAGTTTGTCCCCGTGTGCGGAAAATGAAACACTACAGGCAGTCGGTTCCCTCGTGTCCGCTCTAGCCAGCCCAGCTTTGTTCTGGTTTGGCATTTGCACACGCCCAGCGAGTAACCGAAAGCGGCAGGAGCCGCGGCGGCGGGCTCCCAAGTGTTTCTTTCTGGCATCTGCAGGGAACCCGCCGAGGGCGCGCGCGAGGCTGGAAGGCCTCATGGTGGCCAGGATGGGTTTCGACAGGGAACAAAAAGGTCAGACGCACCAACCCTCGGCCCGCTCACGCTGAAACCTCGCCGGAAAGCCCTGCTTCCCTTCAAACTACTCGAGGCGCTCAGGAAATCCAGCCGCCTCCCAGCCTGTCGCTTCGCCCGCCGCCGACGGCTCGACGGCCGCAATCGCCTGTCACCTTCGCCCCACCCCTCCAGCCGGGCTCCGCGGCCCGCACGACACCGCCGGCGGCCTTCCGCCCCGCCGCCCTCCTCCCGCCCGGGGGCCCCCGGCCGCCGCCACCTCTACCTGCCCCGGGGCTGGTACTCCCGCCGTCCGCAGCTCCGCCTCCGACCGCCCCTTCAAATGGAAACCGTTGTCCCTGTCGTCGCCCGGACTGGCCCGCTCCGCCTGCGGCCGCACAGCTCCTCCATGCCCCGCGCCCCACGGGAATGAATCCGGCCGCGCTGCTCGCTCCGCCCCGCCCCGCGGAGCTGTCTGCACCCGCCCTCCCAGGCCGTTCGCGATGCAGCGGCTGCCGCGGCCGGTGGTGTAATGGGCTGCAGGCCCGGGGGCCGGACGAGCCAGCGCACGGCTTCACATTACTGACGCCGCCGCCGCGCCATTGGGTCGAGGGAGGGCGGCGGCCGCCGCCAGCAACCGCCTCGGGGCGGGGCTGGGCAGGGCGGCGGGGGCGGGGCGGCGGGAGGGGGCGGGGCCTGCGCGAGCCCCACGAAGGACGCGCTTGCGTGCGACGCGAGTGGCGGGAGCGCCGCCATACGAGGGTGCGAGGGCCTGAGACCGCGCTCCGGAAAAATGCGCCTGCGTGCTACGGAAGGGGCGGGGACCTGAGAGGGCTACCCTGAAGACGCGCCTGCGTGCTATTGGCGAGGCGGAGCATCCTGAAAGGAAGCTCGGGCGCCCCGAGAGCGCCAAGGGGAACGCGCCTGCGTGCTGCGGGGGAAACGGGGCGTCCCGGGCTGGGGGCGAGGGAGGGAGTGGAAGACGCGCCTGCGTACTACGGATAGGGGCGGGGCCGCACCATGCAGGCTTTAGGTGGCTCCCTGAGAAAGTGGCTCTTGTCGCTTGTGTGTCTTCTCCTGTTTCCCCTCAGCGCCCTGTAAAGTCTCGGGATGCAGCTCCAGAACGCCCAGTCTTACTGTCCCACTCATCAGAACTTCAGACACATCCCTCTGTCCTTCTGTTGATGGACTGAGAATACACGGAGCTTGTCCAAACAGAAACTCCAGACAAACGTTTCCGACAATGAAACGTTTTGGAACGGGCCAAACGTGATTTTTTTTAATGGCCATGCGCTTTCTTGCTTCTCTCTCGGCTTGCCCTCTCTTCCTCTCGTTTTTTCCCACCGCTCCCCGTCATGGCCAGGTTAAGTCCAGATGCCTCTGGCTGTAGGGGGCCAGGTGAGAAGTCTGTGTGTGTGTGTGTGTGTGTGTGTGTGTGCGTGCGCGTGTGTGTGTGTGTGCGTGTGTGTGTGTGCAGAGGGCCAGGTGAGAAGTCTGTGTGTGTGTGCGCATGTGTGTATATGTGCGTGCGTGTGTGCATGTGTGTGTGCGTGCACGTGTGCGTGTGTGTGTGCGTGCACGTGTGTGTGTGTGCAGGGGGCCAGGTGAGAAGTCTGTGTGTGTGTGCGCATGTGTGTATATGTGCGTGCGTGTGTGCATGTGTGTGTGTAGGGGGCCAGGTGAGAAATCTATGTGTGTGTGCACGTGTGTGTATGCAGGGGGCTAGGTGAGAAATCTGCGTGTGTGAGTGCGTGTGTGTGCGCGCGCAGGGGGCCAGGTGAGAAGACACTGTGTGTGTGTGTGTGTGTGTGTGTGCGCGCGCGTGCGCGCGTGTGTGTTTAGAGGGCCAGGTGAGAAGTCTGTGTGTGTGTGTGTAGGGGGCCAGGTGAGAAATCTATGTGTGTGTGCACATGTATGTATGCAGGGGGCTAGGTGAGAAATCTGCGTGTGTGAGTGCGTGTGTGTGCGCACGCAGGGGGCCAGGTGAGAAGACACTGTGCGCGCGCAGGGGGCCAGGTGAGAAGTCTGTGTGTGTGTGTGTGTAGGGGGCCAGGTGAGAAGTCTGTGTGTGTGTGTGTAGGGGGCCAGGTGAGAAGTCTGTGTGCTCGTGTAAAACCAGAGCCCCACATAGCTGAAATGACCTTGAACTCCTGATCCATTTGCCTTCACGTCTCACCTCGTTTTTACCGTCTTAAATAATTTTGAAGAGGGACACACTGGCCAAGGAAATCAGTATGTATACTCACCATCAGATCCTCAAGTGTGAAGTTAGCCCAGCTTGGTGGTGCTTGTGTTTAATCGCAGCACTGGGGAAGCAGACACAGGTTGGTTTCTGTTGAATTCAAGGCCAGTCTGATCTCCACAGCAAATTCGAGGCCGGCCAACTACAGAACAAGACCCTGTCTCAAAAACAAAGCAAGTATGATTAATAGTACTAAGAAGACAATCTAAGACAGATGATTCACCTATAAAAATTAGGAGGACAGGTCACAGCTTCGTATTCTTGAACCAATGAAGTCTAACTTCATGAAATGGTTCTCTCTTATAAGATGATGTAAAATAAGCATACAATAAGATGATGTAAAAGTTTAAATAGTTATTGGTCTGAGTGTGTGTCCTCCATAGGAATCCTATTTTGGGGAGCAAGGGGAGGTTTCCAGGCAGGGTTTCTCTGTGTGTAGCCCTCAACATCCTAGAACTCTTTCTGTAGACCAGAATGGCCTTGAACTCAGAGATCCATTGGCTTCTGCCCCCCAAGTGTTGGGATTAATGGCCCTGCTCCTCCATAGGATTCTTAAAAGATAGTCAGACTCTTAATTTTAAGGCCAATTCAGATTTCTGGACCTTCAATGTATGTCTGTACTCTTTCCTAAAACCCATGTGCTGGTAGAGAAATGCATTCAATGCATCTTGCTAGTTCATTTCCCAGCTCTTTTGCAATAGCATTGGTGGCACATGCCATTAATCCCAGCACTTGGGAGACAGAGGCAGGTGAATCTCTGAGTTCAAGGCCAGCCTGGTCTACAGAGAGAGTTCCAGGACAGCTTCCAAAACAATACAGAGAAACCCTGTCTCCCAAATAAACAAAAAATAAAAAAGACAGGCATACCTTTTACTCCCTGAGAATCTTTTTTTTTAATGATAAAGTGATGCATTACTCTGGAACGTAAGAACCTCAAGGACTTCACTTGATGTTTTTGTTTTGTTTTCATTCTTCCTAGCATGTATATGCAAAATGATACAAGCAGGTTTCTCAAATTCACTTGGTCATCCTTTTGATTTCGGTTTGGGGGGGGGTGCCTATGTGATCTGTAATTGGTAGCATATTTCTTCTACATTATTCTGAGAATTTTCAATTATTTGAAGCCCCTGGCAGCTTTTGTTTGAACTAGAAGCCTTAATTAAGCAATCTTCACAGTACTAGTAAACTTTGTTAACTAGGTATAATTTGGGGACAGGACAGATGAATCACAAATATCTCTAGTTCTTAGTAACTAACTGGGCAACAGACCAATTTTGGAGATCATCAAAGAAGCCTACTTTCCTGATTTCAAGTAATTAGTAATTTGAAGGCTTGGGGTAAGTTTAGTGATAGAACAGTTAGTTACGGGGGTATGCATGAGGCCCTGGCCTTGATCCATGGAGCTAGGAGTGGGGAGGCGGAAAGCTGGGTGAGAACTGATTGTGGGCTCCTTCTAGCTATAAACAAACCAGTGCAAGCCAGCCGTAGTATGCACGCCTTTAATCCCAGCACTCGGGAGGCAGAGGCAATAAAATCCCTGTGAGTTTGAGGCCAGCCTGGTCTACATAATGAGTTCCAGGACAGTCAGAACTGCATAGTGAGACCCTGTCTCAAAATGATAAAGAGAGAGAGAGACAGAGACAATCAGACAGACAGACAGACAGACAGAGAGAGAGAGAGAGAGAGAGAGAGAGAGAGAGAGAGCGCCAATGCAAAATATAAACAACAGTGAGAGCCCACAGTACAAAGCTTCTAACCATACTGTGTCAAACCTGAGAAGGAGGTGATGGTTAACCCTTAAACAACCAGCAGGAACAGACAGACCCAGGCTGGAGGAGAAGTAGAGAAACACAGTTCTGAAAGCAGAGAGCAAGAGAACCCCTGAGGTGGCCCCTTCTCTATGTCTTCTTCGTCTGCATGCATCAAGGCCCTGACTCCCCGCCCTCAAGTACACTCCAGTAACCCATCTCTTCTCTCTGCAGCTTAACCAATATTCCCATTCTCTCCTTGCTGATGTTCTCTTGCAGTTTTTAGGAGTGCAGTCTGATTAAAGAGCTCATAAGCCCCAGATTACCTTAAAACTATAGATATGTGCAGGGCAGGATTCTTTTAGAAGTGAGAATTCTGGGTTCCCCTTTCATATTTCAGTTTTGTCTCCAAATCTCTGAATGATATAAGAAAAAACAGGTAACCAGAGTCTGATCGTTTCTCTTGGCGCGGACTCTATCACTTTCTCCTTAGGATGGGGTAGAAATCTTGTGTCATTATAAAAGTACCCTTTCTTGCCCAAGGTTGTCATAGCACCAACTCTAGCTCCCTAGGAGTAAACAGTGAGGGAGAATCTAAAATGTCTTGAGAATTAGCTCCAACTTCAGCCCAGCTTGCTCCAAGAGTGTGCAGCCTTCAGAGGGCTGAGGATGCACTCAGTGCCAGGGGGGTCTGTTCTTAAGACTCGTTACAACTTAAAGGAGTTGCCTAGTGAAGCGGGGGAGTAGTGGAGGTTGAGGAGGAGAGCCGGCCAGAGCCGCTCCCAGATACAAAGCTACTATCAGTATCAGACTCCTTCCAGACTAGGAACTGCTGGAAAAGATTTCCGGGTGTTGCTGACCTTGGCTACAGCTTGAGCCTCAGTCTGTCCTCCTCCTGTGATCTCTGGCCGTGACCCTGACTGGCCCTCCACGCCTGTGTGAATGCCTAGCCCATGAGGGCTGGCTCCAACTTTACCGGTAACTCCATAGCCTCGGCTCCATTCTGGCTGGCAATATAGTCTCAGAAATTGCCCAGTCTTGCTTCTGTTCGTCAGCTCTCGTTTGCTAAGCAGTCTGACTGACCACATCTCTCACAAACGCCTCATGATCGCTTTTCCAAAGTTTTGCCCAGTCCTCACAAGGTCAAAACCCTATCTCTGCTTCCTTTGGCCTTGGCATTGCTGCTCCCTGGAAATTCATATCCCCCAGTTCTGAATGTGCATTTTAATAGCTTTGTTTTATTAAAGTAAAACTTGTTTAAGTGTCCATTTTTAATAGATTCTAGAAATGATTCTTATGCCTGCTAAGTTTGGGGCCCACGGCCTCTGTAAGAGCACTCGCTGCCCCTGATTTTCTAAAGAGACAGCGCTTCTGTGAATCCCAGTTCCTTGATTGGTTGCTGCGAGTGCCAGTCATGATTCCTTCTTACTAAGTTGGTGCCTGGTGAGAAGGACAGAAACTCCATGGCTGCTGGAGTTCTCTGTTCTGCCTTCAGAGTTTAGGGCCCGATGACTACCCCACCAATGTTGTGAGAAGGACAGAAACTCCATGGCTGCTGGAGTTCTCTGTTCTGCCTTCAGAGTTTAGGGCCCGATGACTACCCCACCAATGTTGTGAGAAGGACAGAAACTCCATGGCTGCTGGAGTTCTCTATTCTGCCTT